AGAGTTGCCAAGAAAAGTCGTGATCCTTCTAGAAACTCATGACATGTTACCAGAGTCACATGACTTCCACTGTTGTAACAGTTATAATAAACTTGGAAGATTAGCTCACATGTGATTTTAATAAAAGAAATAAATGACCTTATAACACAAAATTTATCTTTTTTTTTTTAATTGGACACTCAATGTTTTGCTTTACAGCTTATTCAGATGTGTTGAAATTATTCCAAAATGAAAAATAAAATTCCCATTTCAATGATACAAAACATGTAAAAAACTATTCTTCTGTGTTTAGTAAATCCCTATTTCTGTGAATTTGATAATGAGAAAAAAAACTTCCATTAAAACTTAATCACATTAAACCTAATATACTCAATTACAAATTATGTTAAGACTGCAGTTGAGTTTTTTCATATTCCTCTTTTAAGTTAAATGTAATTCAGGTATACTTTTTTCTCTTATCATTCAGCCCTGCTGATGGAGTCTGGTGTTGGATAAAAGGCCCCTTTTGCAGCAAACAAAAGATCTGAAACACTTACTTGAATCCTCCAACAGACAAATTGAGAAGAACTTAAAAATATCTTTTTCTTAATAAAAAAAATTCTTTCTCCACAAAATGAATATAAAAGGAATACAAATAATTTGGTATACTTTAGCAATCAATATTTTCATACTGTAAAAGTGCTCAATTGCTTATTATTATTACAACAAAGCTAATTTTTTATGCACTGTGTAAATATTTTAATCAGTTCCACAAAATAAACTTTTGTGTGGAATTAGAGGTGTTTTGAAAAGAATAAGAATACATCTGTAGTGCTCTCATCCAAACAGATACCTAATTTTAACAAATTTAAACAAGTTGGTGAGGCAGAAAAACTGTGCTCATCTGGTAAATGTCAATTTTCAAGATGCTTTTATAGACAATTTCTGGCAATAGTTTCCAGCATTTTTTCTGAAAACAAACCAACAGCCTTTAAGTTTATTGGTAGTTCCTGGAAACTTTTTGTTTATCAGTAGGGATTATATTAGCAGTCATCTTTTGGATATCTTTACCATCTAGCAATTTGTGAAATTAACTGATAAAGCTTCTAATACCTCCTTATATATCTTCTTCAATGTTACTGCATAAGTATTGATAAGTTTATGAACTTTACTCTCAAGAAGTTTTCAAAGCTTCTCTGCAAAATCTTTTTTTTTTTTTTGTAACAAAGATTAAAGAAACTGCTAATTTCTTTTACCTTCAGCAGTAAAAACAATACTCATCTGTAGGTTTTTTCATTTCCTCTTCATAAGCTTACTATTAAAGTTCAGAAACTTTCAGTATTATCCTTAACATATTTTTTTGTAGTTTACATAATAAACCTTCAAAGCTTTTGATGTTTTGAGTTAAGAAGCTTTCCTGGTTCTTCTTAATGTTAACAGTAACTTTTGTTACCTTATCTTTGTTTTTACATTTTCACACCTCAGCTTTAGTTTTCACTAAAAAAATTTACTTCAGTTGGTTGATTATTTCATGATGTTTGACACGTAATCAGAATTTTGATTAATTGATTGTTGGAATAATTGAAAATGGTAACAGTCAGAAACACTAATTTTGATTACCTGATTTAATAATAATTTCAATTAGTCAGTTAATCTACACAACATTGATGTAATCAGTGCTTAGTTAATGAATTATATTTGATTAAATCACCTAGTTCTGATTTGTTACAGCAGGCTTCATTTGTTTGTGGGTTCTTGTTATTGTTATTCTACAGGCTGTTTTCACTGATAGGCTTAACTTGGCCACTTGGCTTTTTACAGATCTAACCCTTCCAAAATATTAGTTGTGTACCACTTTATGATATCAACTTAAGTTTGATTTCTTTGCACATTTGTGTTTTAAAATGCTTTAGTTAGTACTTGTACTTCATTTAGGAATGCCAAGAAACGACTTGATGACAGGTCTTTTTTTGGAGGTAGTATTCACGTATGTTATGCTCCAGAGTTTGAAAATGTCCAAGACACAAGGAATAAACTTCTAGAGCGACGTAAAATTGTTTCAGCTAAAACAAGAAATTTTACTGGTAAGTGTGCTCAGTGAGGTTTAGCCCTCTATAAAAAACTCACTCAAATCCTTTAAGAAAAGTATTAATGAATAGCTAAAGTAATGAGAAAAAGTACATTTTCAATATGAATCAAGCTATTTTTTTGCATAAATCGGTTATTGTGATTGGCAAATGAACCCTAGGTGAATCTTGAACGATGTAAATATCATTAAATGGTAGTTCCCTGAATGGTTGTTTCATTGTATATCACAGAATACTGTGAAATCAGTACATCAATAAGTGATTATATTTATATTATACTAGGAGAAAGATAATATCAAAGTTGAAGCAATATGTGTCTCCACTGATTTTTATAACAGATATTATTTTACCTCAACAGTCTTATAATTTTCATTTCTTTTTTGATACAGACACTGTGAATTTGGAAGTGTGAGAAACACTATACAAAACTACTACAGACACTGTTATGTTATTTCATTAGATCTGCATATTTTCACTTGTTTATAAGAGAAAAGATTCACATAAATGCCAGTTTTGTAATTTTGCTAGAATCATAGTTTTTATTTATCCTCTTCTTTCAGGAGAAAAGGTACAGTCGGATAATGATGGAAATATTTTATCACTAAAGGAAGTATCCTCATCACAGCCTGAGAGAGCTCTTTCTACAAGTTCCATTACTCCAAAGCAGCAGCCTACCACCTATATATGGGCTGGAAAAGAGTACACAGTTAATAGTGCAGATGATAATTTGGTTATTCCCTCATCATCACAGCCTGAGACAGTAAAACAATCGCCTCTGTTGTTACCACGTTGTCTAAGAGATCAGAAATCATTTAGAACAGGTTATCATGGTAGTACGTCTACAGATATGGAAAGTCACTCAAAATCTAAGGTTCCGAAACTAAACCAAACAACAAATGTAAAAGAATCTGAACAATTTTATAGTTCCAGCTATGATGATACAATAGCATCCATCAGGAAGAAGCTATCCTCGGTAGGTAACCAGAATCTGTTTTGCAATTGGAGATTTTTCACATACGTGTGATTACTGTTTTAATTATTTATGTTGGATAATTCAGTGAGGTAGTCATCTGGTCAGATTTTAAAATATTTTGATAGGGTTAACAAAATGATGTGTTACTTAATAAATGCAATGCTATTTTTGTTATGCAGTCATTATTATTATTATTATAATACAGTGAAAGTATTGTAGTATGCATGTTACTATCAAATTATATGGTTAAGCCTTTTTTTTATTCTGTACATTGATGCCGAACAGTGCGTGCACCCTTTCACTGAAGCTTTGATATTTTGGGTCAAAATTCAAAACATTAATTTTAAGAATATTATATTGACAAAAATGAAAACTAATTTTGTTAATAAGATCACTGTCAAATTGAAAATATAAAGAAACTGTTAAAAGTGTTCTAAAGAAAAAAGAATCACATGGCTTTGTTTGGCTAAAACCAAGACTGTTTCATTCTCGTTCCTTTGAAATATTTTTAACCATTTTTTCTATGGTATTAGGTTTTGTAGCATTGTAGCTGTATTTTTTGTAGCCATGTTACATTTTCAAATTCAGTATAGAAAATTTAAAAAGTATTCCTTAGATTGGTGATGTACATCTAGTGTTAATATATGAGATTCAAAACAATGACATTATTATTACTGAAACCAGCTGCTTAAAATGTATATATCACTTTTGTATTCTTTTGAACCTTGTGTGTATCAAGAATAGGGCATTAGTCTTCACTTGTCCTGTAATTATTTTCATATTATTAATTTTTATTGAAAACATACATCGTGAGTGCTCAGCTACCTTGTAATTTGTTGTGTAACTTTCTTTTACTCAACTTACCAATTTATTTGTGTTCTTAATTCTTCTACTCTCCCTTTATTGACTACACAAATTGTCTTTCATTTGTTGTACAAAGTTACATTTATGTTTTGTATTTCAGTGCAGGGATTTATTATTACTTGTATTACTGGTTGGTAAGAAAAACATATAGAGACACAAATTACAGTGCCAGCATTTGATGAAAGGTTTTTATTAGATTAAGCACTAATGATAAGTGATAATTTATTATAATAATGTCATTTAAAATAATCATATAAGAAACACCATTCAAGACAGAAATTTTGTTTTCCAATGATCTGAAACTGTTTGTTATTCGTATACAGACACACTTAAATTCTGGATTAATTATTTGGATTTAAATGGTTTGAATTCTAAAAACTGGCAAAGTATTGGAAACCAACAGGTCTAATATTTGTGATAAAAAGTCTTGTTCACTGCAGGTGTTTTTTTTCACTTTTAAATTCAGTTTTTTTTTATGAATAGATACCACAGTGAGGTATTCAGTCTTAGATTTCAGTCAGAATTTCCTTTAAACCTAACTTTTCCCACATAAGATATAAACCCATTACATAGTAACTGTGTAACTTTTGATTTCTGAAAATAAAATTTTATTTTTGATATTTTTGCTCCGCCATTTAAGTGGTTCAATGTACACAACATCTGTATATATTTATTTATTCATTTATCATAATATTTATTTTTGCCACATAAAAACTTTTTTTTTTAGGTTTATACCATCAACCAAGAATCCTATTACCTGTTGATTTTTGGAGTTCCAGCTGTTGGAGCAGCTCAGGAACTTCTTTATGAATGTGAACAGTTTGGACATGTTGATCAGTGTTCTCCATTAGATGAATATCCAGCAGAAGAATACACTGAAGTGTATCTTGTGAAGTACTTAAACCTACAGGATGCCAGGTGAGAATGTACAGTTTTTACACTTTTGTGATGATATACTAAAATAATTAATTGAGCAGCAGTTTGTTTTATATTTATGGAATAAAAGTTGTTCACTTTAGGCTGCCTGATAGAGCAAATACATTGTATATGTATAGAACATAAGAACTATTAAAATCAGCTCTTTTATCACTGACACAACTAACCCATTTTAAATGTAGACCATTTCTATAAATCTTCTTGACCAAACATTTAAGAAGATATAGAGAGGTTGTGATTAAGTTATTTAAAGGGAAGGCTTTATAAATATTTAAATGATATGGCTGGATTTGAGTTGTTTTTTTTAATAGTTATATGATTGAGACAATTTTGATGGACCAACAGACCCCTTGTTGTCTTTAAATGTTATGTTGTGTTATGTATCATTTAGAGCTAACACCACATTTAACATCTTCAGGTAATATATTCACAAGTTTGTAAATAAAAGAGAAGTGATTCAGTCATAGTCATTTTGGATGTGGATTTTCTGAGCTTAATGCTAAGTTACTACTTCTTGCATTCAAGTTCATGGTTTTAGTCTTATTTTTCTACCATTCTGAAAGACTTAATATAGGTAAAGTATCCAACTTCTTATCATTCTAAATGTCTAAATTTTGCTTTGCTGCCCATTTTTTAATGCTATGCAAGGGACTAAAACTGAACACATTGCTTTTGTTGAGGCCTCAACATAGACTTTTACAAGATTATGATAACCTACATACATATAAAACAAATAATATTTGGGCATACATTGTGTTAAGTGTCCCTTTGTTTTTGTGTTGTGTAATATTTTTGTCATGAGTCAATCAATAAATGATATATTTTGTGTGTATATACAAAGAGTTGGATATACTATATTAAAAAGATTTTGAGTGTGCAAATCACAACCAATATGGAGTAAAGGTGGAATGGAATGTATCAGAACCACATTTTGTTTTTTTTGGTGGGTAGTGAAAATTGATAGTTTTTGGAAAAGGCATATGTAAAAGTTCCTTTTAAATATAAAATATTTATACACTCAGATTATAAAAATCTGTTCAGATTGTGGATTTAGATGGAAATATCCCTTTTATTTAATGGTGTTGGAAAACAAAGGAATATGGATCAACTTGAGGCACCAGGACCATCCAGAAAAAGACTCCTGTAACAAGTAATTCCAGCAAAGGGGAGGTGTAAGTAAAGTGCAGTGTCTTGTAACAGGTGACAATCTGTAAGCACAGAAGTCAGTAGCAAAAGCTGTCTATATGTCTCAGGCAACAATGCACTGTGTAATCAAGATGAATTTTTCTGGAAAAGTGACAGAGTGACAGAAGTAACATGTAGGTAAGTTGCTTCCAAACTATTGCATATCTCAAGTAACTGGAGAATGGAATGGGTATTTATGCTCTTCCATATGTGACATACTAGTCAAGTTGCTAGATGCAACTCTTACAGATTTTTGTGTGATTGGACTGTTAAAATCAGTGCTGAGAAACTACCTTTCTCATATTCTAGATGGCTTATGGAAAGCAAGCAAGGATAAGTGGCATGGTGTGCTTTAGACAACCTTACTATAGAGCTTTTTGCAGTGTTAACTATGGTAAAAATGCATTGTCATCAGATAGATGTGGCAACATAGGCTGTAACAATGTTACGAGGCTCCAAAATTATTTTTGCATGCCTTTCTACAGCAACTTTCAATTGGGTCACTACATCATCTTCAATAAAACATAAAGTTCACTATATAAGAAATAAATTAGACTTTCAAGATGGCTCCAACATTACTGTAGGTTAGTGTACAATATAATCCCCCTGATACCACATAGAATAAATATTGCAACTTTAAACTCAAAGTGATTTCACTTAACTAAGCTTCATTAAAAAAAATTCATAACGAATATTTTTACTTTTGAGTAATGAAAAAAAAACATATTTCCCAGTAACAATATAACACATAAAAAAGGTAGTTGCAAACTTTCGTAAAACAAACCTTTACCTCATGAAACCTGATATCATAATCAAAAATACAAACACCCCTAAACTTTGAACAAGTAACTGGCTGGTAGGTATGATTGGTGAGCTAAATTTTAAAGAATAAAAGGATAGAACCATTCAGGAGCTTCTGTCTTTACACTCAGGATCCAAATAACAATGGATGTGATTTTTGAATCAGTAATGGAAACTTCTATTAACCAAATTACTAAATTGGCAATACTTTTAATATTAAAGTGGAAAATCTAAATACACAATTTACGTTTTTCTAATGTTGTGTTGATTTGTTTGTAATTAAGTACAAAGCTACACAATGGGCCGCCTATGCTCTGCCCACCAGGAGTATTGAAACCTGATTTCTAGTGTTGTAAGTCCGCAGACATATCGCTGTGCCACTGGGGGGGCTGTTGTGTTGAAACACCTTCAATTGTATGGTAGATTTAGAATTTACATTCTTGGTTATGTAATAGAAAAAAGCAAATCCAGAGCTTTCATTTTTTGGCTAACAATACTAGTTACAGTGGTAGATCCAGGATTTTATCCAAGGAGGGGGAGGAAGAGGGTTTGACAGAGTCAGCTTTAACACAGCTGGGGAAAGTGATAATTCCAAGATGAAAATAAGAAGCAATTATTTTTGAGCAACTTAGGTTCTAAAAATTTTCATCTAACCTATATAAAAGCCAATATGTGTCAGATCACTCTTGATTTCTTGAAATTGGAGATAAAAGCCAAAATGCATTTATCCAAAGAGAATAAATATAAATAGTGTGGGATCACCTAGCCTAGAGCCAAGTGCATAAAATTTATCATGAAAGTAAAAATATCAATTCAATTTTAAACTTAGATCGTTTCTGAATTAACCTATTTTCTGTTATATGACTAATCAACAGAATACTCTAAAATTAAGAAATCAACAAATTTTGTTTCTAGTTTTGTTATCTATACATTTCATTTTATACTTTCAGTACATAGACTAACAACAATATTGGGTTTTATGTTTATTACTAAG